AGAAAGTAGAAAGTAGAAAAACACGCGTTATATTCTGTTCAGTCTTAGCTAAGGCGCAGCTTATAACTGTTTAAAGAGGCTCGCAGTTTTTTTATGATCACAAGTTGATTTTTTAACGCTTCATTAACTTTTTGGCCACACGCGTTCCATCCTTTTTTTTGTCTTTTTGCGGGTCCCGTCTGACGCGCGTCTGCCAAAGAGGTCGCTCGACGTCGCGTTGCCTGCTTAATTGCTTAAGTTGGCTCGACTTGAGCAATACCAAGCTGTAGTTTGTGGACTGTGTGCGATCTAAACACCTCGTTCGGGTTGGTTATTATGGCATGTTTCTCTCTTTAAAAAACGTACTGAAAAAGGTCAACGCTTTTTACTTCCGATTTCTTATATACACATTTTGAAAACGCACCGCCAGGCGACAACAACAGCTGTCACAAGCACACGCTTTTTTCTGATAATTTGGAATCCGTACAAGCAGCGCAACAACACACAGTGTGTGGCATTTTTTGGCAGCGTGTGTGCACTGAATAGAAACTTTTACTTGCAGTTGCTAAATTTGGTAGCATATGGCGTAACGCTGCATACAAATGTATTAAACAATGCGTGCCATAGCTCGGCGGTATTTTAATTTTTGCTTGCAAACATGAAAAGTCGCAACATTTTCAAAATTTAAAAATAGTATTTACTTAACAGCGAAAATACCAATTATATCGAAAAAGCAGTGTAGACAATATATCGTAATCGATAGTTGTTAGTATCGCAAAATATCACGTTCTTCTTTTCTACAGCGGGCACAGCCTATGTTAAATTTTAATAAAAGCCTGCATGGCCGATTAATTCCAGATTTCTCTTACTCTGTAGCAAAGTTTAGGTTTGACCATGTTGATTTTGTTTTTTAACAACGGGTAACGAACTTTTCCAGCTCGCATTTTACGACAAATGTGCTTGTTATCATCTTTGTTATGTTAAATAACATTTGTAATAACAAAATATTAAGTGTGTACACACTCTAATCAAGTAACAACAAAACGTTTTTTATTATATCTTAATAAAAACTTAAGAATTTTGTATCTAAGAAGCTCTCCGTGATCTATTAATACCAACGCAATGCCAACAATTGGAGTTAAACGTGATCTACTCTTTGAGGCACTAGGCAAGAAGTATAGTGAGTTGACCGGCACCCGTCCACGTGGATTTTCAAATTAAATGTTTACCCCTTTCCTCAGCCGATGACGAATTTCAAGATCTGTGCTTTGCCTTTGGTCTAGAGCTGGACGAAGTGGTAAGCAGTTGTCGTGTAATAGACGAGAAAAAACATTTATAAATTTCTTCATTCATTTATTTCAGACGACAGAGAAGCAAATGCTCACTAAAGAGCAAGGGGATGTTGCAGCAGCAGCAGCGGATGCCAGCGAAGAAATCATCTACAGGATTGATATACCGGCCAATCGATATGATTTGCTTTGTCTGGAGGGCTTAGTCACGGGTCTGCGGGTGTTCCAGGGCAAGTGAGTAGAAATAGGTTCTACTAAAAATCACTCTAATTTATAAAACTTAATTGCAGAGTGAAACCACCTAAGTTTGACTTTGTGGAGCCGGCTCAGCGTCAAGTGCTGAAAATAGCGCCCTCAACGGCTCAAATCCGTCCATTCGCTGCAGCCGCAGTGCTGCGTAATGTCACTTTTACGCAGCAATCGTACAACAGCTTCATCGATCTGCAGGACAAGCTACATCAAAACATTTGCCGGAAGCGCACGCTAGTCGCTATTGGCACACACGATCTGGACACCATACAAGGTCCATTTAGCTATGAAGCCCTGGCACCGGAGCAAATTAAATTTGTGCCACTCAACCAAACTCGGGAGCTAAACGGCATTGAACTAATGGACTTCTATGCCACACACGCACAGCTCAAGCAATATTTGCCCATTATACGCGATTCGCCCGTTTATCCAGTTATCTATGACGCGAACCGTATTGTGCTGTCGCTGCCTCCAATTATTAACGGAGATCACTCAAAGATATCGGTAAAAACAAAAAATGTGTTTATCGAATGCACTGCCACAGATTTAACCAAGGCGAAGGTGGTACTGGATACCATTGTGTGCCTGTTCTCCGAGCACTGTGCACAAAAGTTTACGGTCGAGCCATGTGATGTGGTGCAAACCGATGGCACTAGCATTTCCTATCCTAAGCTGGCGGTACGTGAAGAACGCGTTTCGGTTAAGCGAGCCAATGCTTACATTGGTATCAGTGAGCCCGCCAACAAGCTGGCGGACATGCTGACCCGTATGTATCTGGAGGCTGAAGTGGATGCCAAAGATGGCGACACACTAAAAGTGAAGATTCCACCAACACGTCATGATGTCATACATGCATGCGACATCTACGAAGACATTGCAATTGCATATGGCTACAACAACATCAAAAAATCATTGCCAGCTTTTATGCAAATTGCCAAACAGTTTCCACTCAACAAGCTGACCGAGCAGCTCCGGGAGCAGGTGGCCCAGGCCGGCTTCACAGAAGCGCTCACTTTTACGCTTTGCTCTCGCGATGATATTGGGCTCAAGCTTAACAAGGACATTGAAGCCATGCCTGCAGTGCATATAGGCAATCCCAAGACGTTGGAATTTCAAGTGGTGCGCACCACACTGCTACCGG